TTCCAAAGCAGCCTAAATGTTCTTCCATGACGTTTGGTTCAAGCGCTCATCCTGCCCGTTTCCTTGGGAATTACGCAGAGTATTCCTACTTGTCGCCACCCGGGTGATTCGCATTCGTTGTCTTCTGCCCCCCCGCCCCCGACTGTGAATTAGTTAGTCAGTGTTTTTGTCTCTGTCAGCAACACTTTTCTCCCGGGTACTGCTTCGGCAATGCATACGTGGGGTTTCACCAATCGTTTGAAGGCTACGATTACTGTTGAACGAAAGCGTACCGGCCCGACTCCCCTATTTAGTCATTCATTCTCACGCCTTTCCTGAAGCCACCTAAGTGCGTAGCCTATTTCCAGTGTGATAACTGTAAAACAGGGGATCTTAGCTTCCAGTTCACTGAAGACATTTAAATCAACAGTTCCATTTTGTTTCGTTTTTTGCACTTGGTGTTTCTGAATTTCTGTATTTTCAACCTAGGCCTTGCAACAAGAAGTATTTAGCCTTAAGGCGCGTCTTGAGGCCAAGACCAAAATGGAGGCTGACTACCTGGAGGAGATTGAGCAGCTCAGACGAGAGTATAGCGAGCTTCAAAACGAACTAAAGGCCACTCGACACACGCAGCCCGTCTGCCAAGACCAGACATCGGCAAGTCTTGCAGAACCGGACCCTGAACTCCTCGATATGCTTACTTCGGAGAATAAGGATTTGAAGAACAAACTGAAAGCAGTTGAACTCGAGAACCGTGGTCTGCATGAACGGCTTGATATACTAGAACTGACCAAGGATGCCGTGAGTTGCATTTTTAAACATAATTTTGGAGGCCTTTTAATACTAGTCACTTGTTGCGAAAGAGTTGTATCTCGCATATAGAATATCTGCATTCGTTAATGTTGTCCTTCAAAAGGTACCTTGATACTTTCTTTGGTTCACCACCTTTTCTTTTGTTTTAAGCCTCGTAGTTGGGTCTTACAAGCAGAGTTTTCTCAGTTTCAATCTTATTACATATCGTTTTCGTTATGTATGCTTATTCCTAAGCTGTCCTTTTCTGACTTCTTGATCCAGCATACATCTTAAACTAATTTTACGTGCTTCAAACGTCCAATTTATTTCGCCTTCTTTCTTTTTGGGAACACATGCGTACGACTTTTGTACGTTGCTTCGCCAATAGAATATAGATTTTACAATGGGCGCCCTTGCTGCGTCCTTCTTCCCTGTCCGCTAGAGTTCAGCTTTCATTTGCGGGATCACTCATTGGATTCGAAGCCCCTTTTCCGATTATTGCTGAGTTCCTTTTGTGACATGTACATATGTTTATCAAAATTTGAATATCTTGAAGTATTTGTTAGCTTTCCTCTACCCAGTGAGCTTTCCTTTAAAGTCCTTTTTAGAATCAACCTATATATGGCGGATAAAGCTCGACCTATGCAAACTGCTAAACCACACATTTTCTGTTAAGCCTTAAACAATCGATTTCCTTACCGCTTTTTTATCCTTATATTGCGTTTTTAAGTAACTATTTTCATTGATTAGGCTGTGTGCGGGGAATAATGAACATGCTGTATGTCATGTAGCTACAAGTTTCAGTTGATTAGGTGCCGTGAAATTAATAAGTACCGGTAGATTGTCTTCCCGTCTCCAAGTGCTAATTAATTTGACTTAGAACTGGGTACTTCATCACAAGTCTGCAGTTGGAGTTGTTTTACAAATTGCCACCTATACGTATCGGTTAGCTAGCCAATAGATAATGGATGAGGTCCCTGAATTCCTGAAGCTTCTGTGTCCCCGAACAGCATATCAACAACGAAACAGTCAACCGCTTTTGTATGCCACCTTATACAATCTTTTATCACTTTTTCCGTGGGTGTCGCCTCTGTCAGGGGCATCAATTGCTGACCAAAATTAATGTGTTGTTCCATCATTCCGCCTTCGTTCCTTTTATTTACTATCGCTTCCGTCCTCATTTAGACCTCAATGAATTTGACTTCCGATCCAGTGCTTGCCGAAACAAATCTAGAGTTGGAACGTCTGCGAGAACAATTGCAGGTCTATCAGTCTGAGAGGGCTCGGATGGAGCGATTTTTAGCGGAAAAAGATGCAGATATTGAAAGCGTCCGTTGCCACGCGTCTGAACTCCAAATGGCGCTGAACGTAAGTCATTTGATTGCAGCTTGGAGGCATTTTTGTTTAATCTCTACAGTCCTATAGGTAGAAGTGCATTTGGCTTCATTCTTCGCCCATGCCCATCTCTAGTCTTCTGGGCATGTCACTGCATTAGGTTACCCCTTCTATAGACTACTTTACGTACAGATCGCTGCTGAGCCCCTGGGACAATAGCGGCGATCCTTGCCGTTTGCGACGGACGACGACCACGTGTATAGAGGGCAGTTTGGTGCTTCTATATGAATTTTGCGCCCCCATTATTGCCACTTGAATTGCATATTAGAAGGTGAGCTTTCCTACAGGCACCTTGCTAAAACCCTGGACACGCAGTCTCCATTCCCATTTGTACATGGGTATTGATAAAATGTTTGGGTTTGATTTTTGTTTACTGACGGTTGTACCGTCTGTATCCTAACAAGGACACTCCAACTTGTTATTCATAACACTCATTTTTTTCGAAGGCCTGTTGGCTGAATTCTCATGAAGATTGTAATATCTCGTATGTAGCCCAGAACCGATCCCCAAAAATAATTTGAAGGACTGTCTTTAGAGGTCCTCCTTGTCCTTGACTCATAACAATAATCTACTTTTACATTTACAGTAACCCGACTTTCCATTTTTTGTTAAATTCCGCCAATATAAGGTTTAATTTCCCCCAATTGGCATCAGCATCCTGAGCAACAGGAGTTTATGTTGATGGATTTGATTCAATTTAGTACACTGAAGCAATTACAAGTTTCTTTAATTTAATATTTTTAATCACCTTCACCAAAATTAAATATTCATTTTCACTCACTAACCAAGAATTAAATGTTTGACCAGACAATACGTTAGACAGTTGAGCGGGAGAATACATATTTAGGGGACCCTACAAGACAGTTTTGCCGATAATTTTATTCTCTTCTCCAGGTTACCTACCTGTGGGCTCCTATGCTCACATCTACACGAGCTGTTGGTTAGTCTGCATGTCTGCCTTTCGAAAAATATCGTGAACCGCCTATACAATTACGTATTTCCCTTCACCCTCTCTTCTTTTTTTCCCACTTCTAATTTGAACTCGAGATATTCAAAAACCCTGAGCCGGCGCATTTTTACCCAAAAGTGTAGTTGTTCCAGTATCCTGTAGTAACGCATGCGTACCACACCACTTGTTGTTATCCTTGACGTGCGTGATTGACCTGTGGTGGACTTGAACGTGATGATTTCTCGGCCATCAGCGCGTCGTTGAACGCCAGCGCCAGGGAGCTAGTTGGCCGAGCAATCATTACGCCCAAGCCCAGCACGGGTGATCAAAGTTCAGTAGATCACGACCCGCATGCCGGTCATGAAGTAATTAGCTCTCAAGCGGACAACTATTTTCAATTTAGTGTCTGCTCTTAAACTTCTTAGTAGTGAGCGACTTTCGGGAGTTAGAACATAATTTCTTTCAATTTAAATGACCTTACACTAAAATCATACTGGCAGCGCAGATACAGTGTCTACGGAATCCTGCAACATGCCGAACTTTGCGAAATATTGATTATCACTCGCAAACCGGCATTACCGCACGTACGAAAACTTAGAAGTAATAATAAACAACCTTAGGCAAATATTTTCCTTAAAAGAAATATAAAGGGTAATCATTCTTTGTTAAGGAAAACGAAATTTTCTTAATAATCCTCAAGTTCCACAGACGCAAGAAGAGCTATAAATTAGAACAGTAAATTTAAAATTTTCCTTATGTTTAACGAATTATCTTACAACTTTCTTTATATAAAAAGAACTTTTCCTAAGTCAAAATATTTTAAACTTATTGTTGTTATTTGATTACACTTACTTATAGATGCGCCTTTAAATTCTGATGAATTTCCAGTATTTTCGGTGGCTTCAAACTGTCTTGCGTAAATCCCGATTCCGTTTGACGTTTAAAATGAGATATGAATTAAGTGGATTTAACGAAGGAAGGAGTTTTGGGTTTCAGTTCGTATGAAGATGGCCATTTCGACCATATTTAGAGATTCCTCCAAACAGCAAAACACATTTTCGAGCAAAAAGAACATCCGCAACAAAAGTCTGATATTTTTATTCCTAAGTTTAATTTTTAAAAAACCTTCTATAATAGGTAGCCCCTTTAAAAAGCACTTTAAGTAGATATTCAGCTGTCGAATTCCTGTGCATATTACCTTCTGTCAAGGTAATATCAAAATGACAATGGGCATTTTTGAAAGTTTTTTAATTTACCTGAAGATAAATTATTCAATTTGACTGTAAATGATAGATAGATTGAGAACTATATTTTGATGATAATATCAAAATTTTCAGCAAAAAATGTCTCCATTCACGGAGAACAAAAATAAGGTAAATTAAGGGGTCCAAAAAGCTCAAGAGTAAACGGTCAAA